GCAAAAACGAATAATCCTTGAGTGCACACAATACACTGAATTTTAGAACAAATCTGAATTAGTTACAGCAGCAGAATACCACAGAAATATCAGACGAAACATGAAAACACTATATATGTATTTCGGCTGATCCCTCTCTATTGCAATTCAGGGATTATCCTCATATGTGCAACCATTTCCCACCTTCGTATCACCCAACCCTGAAAACAAATTCTTAATACCACACTGAAGTGTTTGGTAATAAAATTTGAGTTTCTCTCCATCATAAAGTTGATAAATTAGTTTCAATATTGCTTTCTACACACTGCTGACCAGTCAGTACTTACAAAAATACATGGACTCAGAATATTAGCTTTAAGACGAGCATAAACTACCCCCCTCCCCTGCACTCGCTTCACTTACGTCAGGCATAAACTGTTGAAGGAAAGTGGTGCAGTGGCCACCACACTTTAAATTCTTTCTTAGGCACAGTATCGGTATATTGTTTATTTTTTAAACAACCTGACAGTATGGAAACCGATTGCAGGCACCAACATTTCATATCAAATATATCGGTATATATTTAGGAATGTTTGTATTAAAGAGGAGATGTTAAAGTGTGGTGGTCATCTTGCCGCGTCGCGTTCAATATGGGTCCCAATAGCTACACATACAATGCGTATAAAAAATCTGTTGTTTGTGTACACAGAATTCGAACACCTGCTGTATGATGACCACCACCCTCCGGCATGTGCAATTAACAAATTAGCAATACGATAATATATAACGAGTTAAAATACAATACAAATTCATGTTATTGATAGGATAATTTCTTCATTTTGTACAACCCTTGATGATTTATCTACTTTGCGGTTGTTATCTGATGAGATGATTCAAGCCCATTAATTCTTGGTGGACGAAGTGTAATATCTATATACAAAAGCCACACCCAGCGAGATGATAGCAGGCACCAACCAACTTGACCAAGAACTGAGAAGAAAAACAAACATGTTAAACATGTTAACAGGCTAAATTAAGGATTACCATATGACATCATTGTCAGGTTTTCATTATTACAGGTTAAAGTCATTAGGATAATGAAAATGAATATTGGAGGTCAACACACAATTCAAAATGTCATGGACAATTGTCATAATTTACATTTTTACACTGTATTTATGGTGAAATTATGTCTTCATATCTCCAAAAAACGTTTCATGACATTGTATAATATTGAATCCCAATAATGTTAAAATCAAAGAAACCTTAGAAAGAACTTCTGTGTGTCGTAAAATTAATTACAAATTTAAGATTACCCTAGTCTAGTCATATAGGTCTGCCCCTTTAAGATGCATAATGTGAAGCAATCTGACCCACAGTATTGAGTTTATAATACTAACAGAAAACTAAAAAGAATACATTTGTTTGTGCCTTAAACCTAGAGCATATTTGATTCAATTATATTTCCTATAGTTACATGAGAATTTAAAGTGGTAAATGAGATATCAGGCAATTATAAATATACATGGGTAAAAATCTTAAAGTAATCAGATTATCCAAGAGAACCTATGTACTGTAAAATGGTTAATTATTCACTGGGTTTTAATTTAGCTTATTTCGCTGGCTGGAAAATGCGCTAAATTAAAACCCAGTGAATATGTAAAATTTAGCATAGAACAAATTATATAAATGATAAAACTGTAAATTTAAAACCCACTGAATATGCCAGAAATGGTAAATCAGTGAAATTTAAACCCAGTGAAAATTAGTCATTTTACAGTACCAAATTTTATTAAAACTTCAGAAACCTATAAATTGGGTACATGTGTTTTTTCTTATGAGAAGCATAACTCCAATAGAACCCATGCACATATAACTGAAAAATCACATTTGTTACCAAGTCATGGAAATCTTATTTTCACCAAAAAAATACCTCTGTAATTTACATAAATGCATTGCGCTATTGACAGAGAAATTAGAGTATTTCATACAAAGTAAGTAGTAAGCATTTACCGACTAACTCGTTGACAGAATTGCAATGAGCTTTTCAAGATCATTACGTAATTAAAACAAGTTAGATCAAACCATTTTTATGAGGGGTGCTGTTCTGCTAATGCATGCATTTACTAGCACTATGCAATGCACGAGACACACCAGCGACTAGGACAGCATCTGTGTTCTGACATGTGAGATTGCATCACTTTAATTTGTTTGAATAAGTTTGCAATTCACATACAAGTAAATTATACAAACGGATGTAATTAATTGAAAGGTAATTGCATCTTCTAGATATATATGTTTCTGAGTTCCTTTGGATTAGTTTGATGTCTCTTATCGAGGTTGGGTTGACCCAACTTGTTTCAGTCGCTTAACCCTTATCTGGTCAAGTCAATGACAAAGTCAGTGATACTGACAGGATAAGGGTTAAAGATCTCCAGACACGCAAAGCAAAACAATCATCAACTTAGCTGGCATAGTGCAACATGACAGTTTAATGCCAAGCATTAGGCATGGTTAGCTTTTCCACCATGATTTGAGTCATGCATGTATCGCTGTGTGAACCAATCACAACTACGGATGGCTTTTCAACACATGCATCAATTATTTGGTTTGAGACTGGGATCATAGCTCAAACCACATTAATTCCCAGGTTGGTTCAACACTGTCAATGCTCTTTGTCAATACGAGAAGGATCTGAGTATTCACAGAATAAAGTAAAGTAGAATAAATTTGAATAGCCACATTATTTCATTTCACTTAACGAATGCATGAGCAAATAGTCCAATTTTCAGTCAATACAAGAGTGATACACAATGTATAATCCCACTTTGTCTTATGTGGTTGACCAATATAGTATCTCAGAGATATGATAGAAACCAGTGTTTTGTTTTGTTTCCTCAATTAGTTTTGAGCTTTTTGTTTTTAGAATGTTGCTATAAAAAAAACTAATTTCACTTCTCCATCAAATAGGTGTGAATTTGATTATAAATATTTTTTCTTACCGGGGCATATTCTTTTTCCAATCCAGATTTTTCATTCAAAATCACCACTTCCACCCCCAAGTTTGTAATAGCAACCTCAATGGGAAGTTAAAATGTACCATTTACATGCAAGTATTAAATGAATGTTTTCATCGCCTACTTATCTAGAGGTAAATGAAACTGTGACCCAATAATATAAATAGATCATTGACTCTTAGAGTTCTTTGAAACCGGTAGATATCTAGGTTAGGCTTTAGGTACGTTTAGTTATTACTCCAATTTCACCATTGATTGTGATTGTACCCTAGAAACGTAATTCTATATGAATTTAAAACTATTATTAGATAAATCACTTTCAGCCAATAGTGCAATTAAAAGTTACTTTGACCTCGCATTTTATGTTGTTTTGATACAGCACACTGATATTGTTAACGTTACTCAATAAATCAAAATTAATTTAAAATTTAAGATTAGTCTCTTAAACAACAAGCCAAGTATCTAATATTGGTCCTCGTAAGTACTGTAAAATCTGTATTAGAAGCCACGGTTTCTATTGAAATGATACAATGCAACAGAGTGGATGCGGTTTCTATTAGAACATCTACACACATGGAAATTGTGAATTTTTTCGTTCTTAATTGTTCAAAAAGAATGGGTGTGACTTCTATTAGGGATGTGGCTTCTAATACAGATTTTACGGTAAGTTGGATTTTACAGCACAATTTTACAATGCTGTTATTGTACATTTGATTGTAAAAGAAACATTGCTACTAATCCAAATATTCATATACAGTCGTCTAAAACCACAAAGCCTGAGAAGTAGAATTTGCTGAACAAACGCAGGTAATGATAACCAATATACTTCCCTTTGACTCAACAAGCAATTTTTTTTGTTGATATATAAATTGCTGTAAAATACTTAATTTTTGCTATTTTTGCTATATACCTTTTTTCTTATATTTTACAAAATCAACGAAAATAAATTCAATACAAAACACCCAAAAAGTCTTTTTGGGGAAAATATATTCCAGTATGTTATAATTACCCTTTTTCCATGTAAGAATAATTTTCTCCATTTCCTTTCGCCTGTAATTCAATCAAAATATACTTTTAGAATCATACTTGGAACGACCTTTGACACAAAATGGTCAGCTGTTAACGACAAACAGACTTTCTTCCACAATTTCCTCCCAAGAGTAATGAGTTGTATGACTATCACATGCCTAATTTTATACTATAGTGAAGATAAACATGGCTAACTGACTTTTGACACGGGAATTTTTTTTGACATTCTGTAATTTCTTGTTATTGTGATCAAAAATTGTGGGTACCCAACCTAGTTTTTAAATTATTAACCCCAGTTATGTATTTCAAACAGCAGAGTAAGGTTTATAAAATTGATCGTTTCCATGGAAACAAGGTCAGGTACTCATTTCTATCATTTGCTCCTTTTCAAGCACTTGACGGAAGCTCAGCAAAATATCAAGAATTTGTAGGCTTTTAAAATTACCAGTTACAGTAGATAGCCGTAATGCATCCTTAAATTTATTTAGGAACCCTCAGTTGGTAATAATTTGACAACATATGTAATTGTCAATTTTGGGTGTAAATTTGATGTTACTTACGGTTGTTGGAGATAGCTTACTGATGTCCTCCTGAAAGTAGAGAGAGAAAAATAAGTTAATTGGTACAGCACTCATTTTCAATGCCAAAATACAAGGGGATATTCACTGGAAATCAAGACAATGGACTTCAATGGCTCCAAGAAGTTCAAAAACTAATAGCCTATATAGCCGTATAGGTGGCTATGCAACACATGTAAACCATTTTAACATGTGTTGTATACATCAAAATTAGGCGAGGGTTCTCTGAACCCGCCTATTCACATAGTTCATACCCACCATAGACTCCGGTCAGTCAAAATGACTATTTTGAACTGTAGGCATTAATCAGCGATTCTGCCGGTGACGGAGAGATAGAATCCAGGTCAGGGGAAGCAACATGACCTCAAGATTCTTTTACCCCTTACGTCACGAACCCACGTGACCGAGGCCACCTGGAAGCGCCACAGGTAGCCGTCCATCACTCTGGTT